TAGACAAGCGGAGGGGTTAAATGTTCGAGCATCAGAGTAGCACCGTGTCGTTTACGGATCCCAGCCTCCTTGGCTTGGCTCCATGGGACTGCCTGGTGTGGTAAACAGGTGTCTTGGAAAGACACTCCCATGTGTCTCCTCTCTCTACCCACAGCACTACTCAAACCGAACACTTCTGGTCACCAAATGTGTGTGACGTTTGGGCTGGGGATGGTGTTCTCACGCCAAGCATTTCTTGTTGTTGTAATCCACTAAGGTTTGCTACGTAGGAACAGATAACCAGAATAGGCCCAAAGAGCCAACAAATAATAAACTGTCCTTTTGGCCTAGTCTTGTTCTACCTGGAAATAACTTCCTGGAAAACCCTTGGCAGATGTGGGTATCTAGGTTTCACTTTTTTTTAATATCTTTCTTCTTTAGTATTTTCCTCAGTTGCCTAGCATGGTTGGCAGGAGATGGGCAAGGTGGAGGATAATAAGGACTTAGCCTACTGTAGTCAAGTTCTCCAGGGAGTCAAAGAAAGAAAAGTCACTACATATTGCTCTAAGTATACAATGAAGTTTTGAACCCAGACTCATATGTGGAATCATTAGTACTGGTGGATTCTATCATGGGAGCCAGAAAGACTATCTTTTTGTTTCTCTCCTAACGCAAGTGAAAAGGGCACAAGGCTTTCACTACAAGCCAAAGAATAGCTTCCTAGACCCTTTTCCACAGACCCCCGTCCCCTTAACATCTTTCAAATCTGGCAATTATGCCATAAGAGATACAGAAAAGTCACTTAAGAGAACATGCACAATAGAAAAGAGGCACATTTGCTTCAATATGGCCTTTTTTTTGTACTCCTACTACCTCTTTATAACATGAACAGTCATTCTTACTTTCAGCTGACATGTCCTAGGTCCTCCTCCCTGGTAGGTGGAGGATTTGGAGCGTTCCTCTAAGCTTGGATTGGACTTCTAACACCAGGCATTCTGCTAGGCCAGGGGGCAGCAACTATAGCCTGTGGGCACCTGTTTTGGTATAGACTTACAAGCTAACAATGTTTTTTGTATTTTTAAATGGATGAAAAAAATAAAAGAAAGAATGACATTTTGAGATACGTGCAAATTATATGAAATTCAAATTTCAGTGTCCATAAAAAAAGTTTTTTGGAACATTATCACGTTCATTTGTTTACGTATTGTCTGAAGCTGCTTTTTACTATAATGGCAAACTTGTGTAGCTGAACAGAGATGGTATGGGCCACAAAACATAAAATATTTATTATCTGGCTCTTTACAGAAAAAATTTGCAGATCCCTATGCTAGCTACCTGGGACATGCCCTCAAGAGGCCTAGGAGCAGAAATTGGATAACTGTCCCTTTTCTCATCAAAAAACTAAACACAGTAGGATGGTTTGAGGTCATCTACACCAAGGCTTTCATTTTACCCTTCTCTCCATTTCCTAGTTGAAAGATGAAAAACTAAAGTTCCGAGGTCCACAGGAGTTTCTTAAGGTTACAGCGATTTATTGGTAGCATAGGGACTTAAACATAGGTCTCCCTGCTCTTAGTCAGATGCCCCTGCCTATTAATCCTCCCTGAGTCCTAATTATTTGTTGTACTAAGTGGGAAGAGATCTTGGATCAGGAACTTACTTTCTTACCTGTTACCCTTTGGTAACATGAAGACTTTGGACTTAGGAACTCTACAGTTCCTTTCAACCTTGATGTGCTCTGCTTTTTAAACAAGATAATGCCAGCTCTATAGCAACAACAACAAGTTGAATTCCAGCTCCTGCTGCTTACTGGCTGGCTGTCTTCAGACAACTTTTGGCTTTGGTTTCATCTGCAAAATGAGTATAATAGTAACACCTATGTCACTAAATTGATAAGATAGTAGCTATGACAGGTGTCATAAACAAGGAAAAAAGGGACTATTTTGAAGGTATATGAATAATAAGTTATTAATAATAAGACTTCTCTAGCTATGATAATCAGGGATATTCCACTCCTTCTTCCATGATGGGAAGGGAAAGGTAGAAATGTGGAAAGGAAGAAAGCAGGAACTGAAGGGAGAAGGGATTAGAGGGGCAAAGAAAGAGGGTGGGGTGAAGAAAAGGAAAAGAGAAGTAGATGGGGAGAAGGGGAGGAAGTTAGAAATGGGAAAAGAAGGGGAGGGGAATGGAAATAAGTAATATAAAAAAGAGTGGAGGGCTTCCCTGGTGGCGCAGTGGTTAAGAATCTGCCTGCCAACGCAGGGGACATGGGTTCGAGCCCTGGTCTGGGACGATCCCACGTGCCGCAGAGCAATTAAGCCCGTGTGCCACAGCTACTGAGCCTGCGCTCTAGAGCCCATGAGCCACAACTGCTGAAGCCCGCACGCCTAGAACCCGTGCTCTGCAACAAGAGAAGCCACTGCAATGAGAAGCCGACGCACCACAACGAAGAGTAGCCCCCGCTCACCGCAACCAGAGAAAGCCTGTGCACAGCAACGAAGACCCAACACAGACAAAAATAAATTAAATAAATTTAAAAAAAAAGAGTGGAGGAGTTGGGGGAAAAGATGGGGAAGAGGCTGAAAATACTGTGTGAGGGAAGAGGAAAGGGGTAGTACAGGGAAAGGGAGAGTGGTAGTAGCCAGACAGAAGGCTGTACCACTATCCTCTCCTGTTGTATCCCTTCCTGGCACTCTGCCCTCAACAACTTAGTTTCTCTCTTGTAGTCTCTCTCTTCACGCCAATATTATCTCACTTAAACTTCTACTTGGCTAATAAATTGAACACCCTGGCCTCTCAGTTCTAATAACAGGGTGTGTGTCTGCTTCACTCTTCCACTCCCATGGGCTCACACTGGATCTCAGCATCAGCAGAAACTCACAATCTCTGATACCTCAGTTCCAAATATCCCACTCAAGACCATCAGCATCTGTACTGCCTGCCTGCTCACGTGCTCAAGTCCTCCACTGCAACCATTCTTTGACATCAATACTTCTTAATACCTTGGCCCCTTTCCTGGCTCCCCTCCACATCCCCACTATTAGCCCTCACATGCCACCATTTGCTTTTCTGTATGATTTTGATTCTGCATACATCATCATAAACATTCTCTTGCAAACACTCCCTTAGTCTTCTCTCCCTCTGTTGTACTTCCCTGGCAAAACCCCAATCCCAGATGAACTCAACAGTCTGCCTTCTCTCTGCCTGCACCTGAACAGTCAAATATCTTCAATTATTTTAAACCTATGGTCTCAAAAACCAGATGAGCTCTTAATACTTCCCAGAAGTCCTACTGACTAGTTTTCTTTAGGAAAACACATTTTCCACTCTCAAAGATGTCTATTTCATACCTTCTCTCTCCTCAAATATCCTAGTCCCTTCTCCTCCCCCTCAGGTAATATTGCCCTTTCTTTACTGAGAAAATAGAAGTTATCCGACAGAAACGCTTCCTACCTTCAAACCTTCCTGCGACTCTACCCTTCTTGTAACTTCTGTTACAAATGAACATCTTCCTCTCTAAGACCTTTTAAGTCATCTAAGGCCCTCCATGTGCCCTTTGGACGTGCCCATCTGATTTTTCTTCTCAAGGGGTTACCTTTCTTCCTGTCAAATCATTCCTAGCGGCTTAAATACAAGCTTGAGTACAGCATTGACCAATAGAACTTTTTGTGATGACAGAAAGGTTCTGTACGTGTGCTGTCTAAATACAGTTTCCACTAGCCACATGTGACTACTGAGCTCTTGAAATGTTGTTATTGTGACTGAGGAACTGAATTTTTAATTGTTCTTAATGTAATTAATTTAAATTGCCACATGTGGCTAGGGGCTACCATATTAGACAGCATGGCCCCTATCTCCCATCCTAAATGAACTTTGCCTTGACCCTTATTCTCAGTATTGTTTTCATTTACTCATCTCCTATCCACTCCTTTTTCAATCGGGATTCAAATTAGGTATAGTGTATGATTTGCTTTGGGCAGAACTTTAGAGTTCATAAGTTTCCCTGCTGCCAAATCCAATTTATCTGTACTCATTTGTTTTTAACAGTGTTCATTACTACACCACCACAATCCCACCCCAAACACTCTCTTTGCTGGAACACCACATTCTCCTGGTTTTCCTCTTACCTTCCTGGCTCTGCCTTCTCAGGTTCCTCCTCCTCTCTCCAACTTTTAAAGGTCTGTTCACTAAGACTCATTCCTTGGACTCCTTTTGTTCTCAAGGTTTTTCCCTAATGCAAGGGGCAGGGAAATGGAGTTATAGTTAAAAGGGCTTCCCGTTGCAATTAGAATATAATCCAAACTCCTTCCCTTAACCAAAGGGCCTGACTGATCTGCCGTCGGCCAAACTCTCCCACCTTTCATTCCCTCCTTCGTGATCTCACTGGCCTTTCAATTGCTCTAACAGTTGAAAGTTTTAGGTTTTTTGCACTCGCCTTTTCTCTCTTTGTGGGACACTCTATCCCAGTCTTTGCCTAGTTTCGCTCTTTGCTATCCTTATGCCTTGGCTTCTATGTCACCTCTTCAGAGGTCTGACTACCTTACCCAAATTACATTCATCTCTTGTTATTCCTCCTTTTGGTTCCTTCAAAGCCGATATTGCTATTTGCATTTACTTATTCGTGTGTTGACTTGTTCAGGTCGGCTGCCTGGCCCCTGGAATTTAAACTTGCGAGCAGGGACAATGGGCTTTGCTCTCCCGTGGGTCACATCCCAGACGCCAGCACAGGCCCGACACCAGGAGGCTCAGGATAAAAGACCCGCGGACCGAAAGAATCAATGAGCCGGCAGAGGGGCGGGGAGGACGCGAGCGCGGCCCCGCTTGGGGGACGTAGGGGCGCGGCCAACGAGCGAGCAGAGGAAGCCCGCCCCTTCCGGCCGCGGCGCGGACGCCTCGGCAGCCACGGCGGCTGGACCGCGGCTGGCGCCGGCTCGGCCCGCCCCCTTTTCCGTGCCCCGCTCCCGCTCCAACGCCTGCCCTGCCGCTGTCAGCTGCATCAGCGTCCTACCGAGCCACGGTGCATGCTTCGCCGCTGCGGCCGCCGGCTGCTCTACGTCCTAGGCCTTAGCTTCCCGCTGCTGACCGGCCGGCCGCTTTTCCTCTGCCCGCACCGCCTCATGAGGCCGCAGGTCGTGTTCGTCCTCGGCGGTCCCGGCGCCGGCAAGGGGACCCAGTGCGCCCGCATCGTCGAGGTGAGGCCCGGGCAGCCGGCGGCTCCCTGTGCTTGACCGGACGCCGGGCCGGGCAGTCCCGCAGCGCGCGGCTGTCCGCGCCTCCCCTACGCGC